TTTTTGAGTTACGTACCTCTCCGTCCGCAAAAATCCATTTTGACTTGCGGACGGAGACTTGAGGTACGTACCAAAAAGTTTAGGGGGAAAAACGCGGGAAATTCGCAAGTCAAGACCCCACTGGTTGGCGGGCAGCCCGGACGCTCCTCGGCAGCCCCAGCCGGGGCTCCCACCTCCTTGCTCCCGCGCCAGAACAGAGCTCGGCCGCCGGAGGCACCGGAAGCCGGAAGCCCCGGGGGCTGGGCGGATGCTGCGGGGATCCTTCCTCGGCGCTCCTGGGAGGGCAAGGGCCGGCTCCTCCGGGCACCCTTTGCCAGGCAGGATCGCCGCCCTTCCTCGCGTGGGCCGAGCGGCGACCTCCTGCCTCACTCCCGGCTTCTCCTCAGCGACCGGCCGGCCGTCCAGCAGGGTGGTCCTCGGAAGAAGGCGGCGGCGGGGAGCAGGAGTGGCGGCGGCAAGCGCAGCTGAGCTCTGTTCCGGCACGGGAGCAAGGAGGCAGGAGCCCCGGCTGGGGCTGCCGAGGAGCGTCCGGGCTGCCCGCCAACCAGTGGGGTCTTGACTTGCGAATTTCCCGCGTTTTTCCCCCTAAACTTTTTGGTACGTACCTCAAGTCTCCGTCCGCAAGTCAAAATGGATTTTTGCGGACGGAGAGGTACGTAACTCAAAAAGTTCGCAAGTCAAGCCGTTCGCAAGTCAAGACCCCACTGTAATAAGAAAAAAGAAAACTAAGCAAACAAAGAATAGAAGTGTAGGCCAAGTATAAATTGCTTTTGTTTAGCATCCTGCCTACCCATGTACATCCAGTCATATGGTGTAGCACTGCTTTCCTCATTCTGAGTTCATGAGGCTGCACTATTGGATCTTAAGTGTTTAGTGGGTTGGATCAGTTCCTTCCTTTTAAACTAAGGACACAGTAAAGCCTTGGTCAGGTATGATCTTGGTCAAATTATGTTTGCCCTGTGCCTTTATTTCTAAATCTGTGAACTTTGAGTTATATACTTAAATATTATGTGGTTTGAGGAAGTTCGTTTTTGTGAATACAATGTGTATCACATTTATTTACGTTTCTGTTTACTCTTGTAGGGGCAGACTATTACATGGACGGCACTTTACGTACAAAAGTATTACAGGGGATACGGCAATCACTTTTGTATCAACAGGAGTTGAAGGGGCATTTGCTACAGAGGAGCATCCCTATGCAGCACATGGCCCTTGGTTGCAAGTAAGAGCCCACTCTTTTCCTCTTCGCTGTTGTTACTCTTTCCTTTTAGGTCTTCCAAAAAATATATATTTTGCATGGTTTTGCTGTAGTATTTTTAGGCCAGGGAAACCTTTGCATTCCTTTCCAATTTCCTTTGAAATGTTTAGGGAAGGGAATTTTAAGCCAAGAAGTAATGGCAGTTTCTAATACTCTTCTGTGTAAATAGCAATTTTCTCTTTTCCAGAGTCCCAGAACATTTTTCATTCTCTGCATCCTCTAATTCTTTCTCTCCCCGCTGCAATGCAGTTACCATTGTAGTCACTGTTGGTTTTGAATAATACACTGCAGCCTTGAAGACAGGGTTACAATACTTGAACCCATGAAAACTCAAAAGGAAAACCAGATCTACAGAAGTAGAAGCCTTGTAGAATAATTTTAGCCTAGGACTCTGTGGTGAAGAGGCCTGGCTTTTGAGGAGAGAGCTATGGAATTCCTTCTTCTCCCCTTAAGAAAAAAATTACAATAAACTTCTGATTTTTACAGACTTTGAGGACACTTCTCAAGTAACTGTTTGCCATGGTCTTATACTGTTAGCATAAGTTGCTAATTAGCTTTGAAGCATTTTGTTTACATTTTCACTTTATGAATTCCTAGGCATCCCTGCTCACTATGTTGGTCCAATTTTCCTAAAACTTTAGCTGTCATAACTGCATACATACTTTAGGATGACGCAACTGGGGAAGGAAATATAATTAAAATACAGAGTAACTCTTCAAAAGGAATTGAGAGAGCCAACAAAAAGTCAGAGGAGTAACTATTTGAAGCAGCTGAATAAAATGCCTACAAGGGATAGAATCCTACATTGCATATGTGTGTCCTAAGAATTTATAGTAAAATAGGATCTCTCCTTTAGAAACCATTTTAAAGGCAGCAGTATATTTACAACTCCTAATACAGAGTCATGAACCTTAAATTTTTCAGCCATTTTCTCACTATCTCATTTTTTATGGCAGTTATTCCTACAGGTTCTTCTGCTCTTTGCTCCTCTAGGTGTCACAGTTGGGCTGGGTACAGACATGGTTATCATGTCATTTTTTTACGTTTTATTTAACTATTTTCAGAATAGTTTAAAATACTGGATCGTAGAAAGGCCTTGTCAGCTTGTTTTTGAGAAATTGACTACATTTTCCAACTCTGAGAAGTGATTTAGGTTAGACACTTGAAAGATCAAATCTATGTCCTTGTTCTTACATCATCCTCTAACCATATGAGTATTGGCTTCAGATGTACTGTAGCTGTAAAGATTCATAAATGTGTGGAAATGTGTTTGAAGAGAACTGCATAGTTTCTAGAATAATGCTTATGCAGCATTTCAGAATTTGCTGTTGAGCAGAGAGAGCAAACAAAGAATAGTATATGTTTTTAGTTGTGAGTGTGGCATTCTTGGAAACACCCAATTTTATTTATCTCTGGCCATCATTCTTGCTTTTGCCTACCCTATCATTTAAGCACAGCTGGCAGAAGTAGGCAGGTTAGATTGAGTAACTAGGGCCTTGAAGAAAACAGGGAATTGGACCTGTGATTGCAGACTGAAAACATAGCATTTTGACAGGTGATTACAGCACACATTTTGGAGAGAGAGAGAGAGAAAAGAAAAAGAGAACAAAATCCTAAAAGCAGATCTATCCATAGCAGCTATTCTGTGCAATCTGTCAAAAACAAAACAAAACAACCAGCCACATTCTAACAAGAATGCCCCAACCACTTGTATTTTTTCATCTGATACTTGTTCACATCCCAGTTCAATAGATCAGTATCGTCTTTACATATAACAGGTCTTCTCTTCAGCCTGTTCTCCTGCATTCTTGTCTAGCAATGGCATAACATTATGAAAGTTTTAAACTATAGCCTTCAAATTGCATTTTATCATAATATTTTTGTTATATGCTTTAAAGTTTCTTTTGGCAAACCTAATATGATTTTCAAGACATGTGAGATGTTCATAGAGTTGTTTATCACTGCTATCACGACTACCTCTAGTGAATTTCCATGGCCAGGCAGTGATTTGGACCCAGATCTCCTGAATTCTAGTCTAACACTCCTACCCACTGCACCACACTGGCTGTCCCTTAGTATTTTATGCCTTATTAAAATTCTGGAGGTATTTGGTGCTAAAAGTCTTGGTTTTTCTCAACACTTCAAATATTCCTAACAGTGACACTGGGCGTGAATTGCATGGAATCGAATATTCTACTTCATATAATAGCTCCACTGCTATAAAACATATGCCAACAGAGTAAAACATATTTCAGCTTGAAAGCTAAAATATTATGAGAAACGTGTACTTGTATATATAAATAGTCAAGAGAGAGAGAGAGAGACTTTATATATATATATGTTTGTGTGTGCTTAATCGTTAAATAAGATTCATCTGAATAAGGAGAAAAAAAGATTATGAATGAACTGAGGAAAAGTCTAGACAAAGTGTGTTAGGCTTCTCTTGACTCTGACTATGCTGAACTGAAAATGCAAAGCCACAGATTGAATAGATCTACTTGAATTATTACAAAAAGGCTCCTGGCTCTGTAAAGTTACAATCAGCAAGCCTTGTATTGTCAAGCCATGGGGTCTCTGAATCCTAACACAGAAGCCAAACCGGTCTTTCATGTGCCGTTCTTTTGGAATAAAACACTCCTGTTTCCAAAGAGCCTTCTCCATCTTGGCATTCTATTAACCTGCAGCACAACAAAAACTGCCAAAAACCCTTTAGGGTGCTGCAAATGCTACAGGAACAAGCCAGTGTTTATTGACAACCAGGGGTCTCAAACTCAAACTCAGTTTACCTGGGGGCCGCTGGAGGCAGAGTCTGGGTGAGGCTGGGCTGCATCAGATTTCCTGGCAAGCGGAGCAAGAGCCCAAGGAAACCGCCCAGGAGTTTCCTTAGCCCGGCTGGGGTTCCGAGTACAGTAGTAGTGGTAGGGGCATGTGAGCCCTCGTCGCTGGCCACTACCCCCTCCAGCTCCTTCTTCCCTACCACCACCACCAGCAGGACGAAGAAGCGGAGAAGGGAGGGAGCGCCAGCGACCGCCTAGTTGGGGGGGGAGGAGGGCACGACATAAATTTTTTGAAAAAAAACCCTCACAAAATCACCTTGCCAAAGGAGAAAAGCCCCCATTGGTAACCACGAAATTTAACAGAATGGGCTGCCCCCCTCCACAGGTGCTTGCGGACGCGCCACACACAAAAACACACACACACACACACACGGAGGTCCATCAACCTTCCTCTGAGGGCCCACCTCAAAAAAAGGCGCACTCAGCAGCAGCAGCTACCCCCACCACGACAGAGGAGCAAACTTTGTGAGGCGAGCCCAGGCAGCCTCCAGAGCTGAGGTGGCTGAAGCAGGACGAAGAGGATGATGAGGATGAGGATGAGGAAGCACCACCAGGCGCTGAGGCGGCCATTGGCCTGGGTGGTGCTGGGGGTGCCAAGAGAGAAAGAGAGCCAGAGAACCACTTCCCTGGAAGAGGTGGTGGTGGCGGCAGCTGCTGTTGGCGGCGCTGTTGGAGGCACTCTTTGAGGAGATGCTGGGAGCGAGCTCTGCTCTCAGGCGCTCGGGGAAAAGGGCTGGCTGTGCACCTCGCTCGCCGGCTCTCCCCCAGGACAGCGCCTCTTGTACCCTCCATCCGGAACTGCAGCCTGCCAGCCCGCTGGTCTGCCAGGTGGCAGGCTGCAGTTCCGGATGGAGGGTGCAAAAGGCGCTGTCTTGGGAGAGAGCCGTCGAGCGAGGCAAAGCCTTTTTTTTAACTCTTGACAGCATAGGACGCGTGTGCGCTTTGGGGGGGCAAGCAAGGCTGGGGCCGCAAACTATCATCCAGTGGGCCACCAATGGCCCCCGGGCCGCATGTTTGAGACCCCTGTTGATAGCAGACTAGATCCTGCTTAACTGCTAACCTAGTTAAGGTGAAGACTGGTTTAAACTGAGCAAGAAAGACCAGCCTCTTTCCTTCATGTAGAACAAGCACGAGCTGAATGAGCAAGAGGTACCTCTCCACAGTAACAGCTCTAATTAGATTGGTCAAATCACCTCCTAAGTGTTGCCCAATTAATAAGATGAATATAAACCCAGTTGGCTATAGTACCTCATTTTTAAGGCAATGGTTCTTAAGATAGCTTTTTAAAAAATCAAACCCACCCTCCATTTGCCACCCACCTAACTCACAAAAGCATGGCAACAAAAGTGAAAGATTCTGGTGGTCTTAATTGGTTGGTCAGCATATTTATTCAGGGTAAGGCAATCCCTCATCAGGTTGCAATATCTTAAATTAAAAAAAGGTATTGTGAAGCTGGAAAAAGATGTAGAAAGGAAATGGTCAGACTGACACAGCTCCTTTGTGAGTTACAACATGTGAAACTTTTTATTTTAACAAAACAGGAAATAAGGGGATATGAGAGAGATGTATAGATTTTGTATGCTGTGAAGAAGGTGAATAGGTAGAAGTTTTTCTATCTGTCGAATAGTAATGGAACCCACAGTCATCCAGTGAAACTGCAGGGAAGGAAATTCAGGAGAGAGAGAAAAAGTCCTCATACATACTGTAGTTAAACAATGAGATTCACTGCTACAAGATATAGCAGTGACCAATTCTTTAAACAGTTTCAAAAGGGTAAACAAATTAATGTAGGACAAGGGTATAAATGGCTGCTGGTCATGAGGGCAATATGCCACCTCTAGGATCTGAGGCACCATGAATTCCAGTTGCTCAGAGACAGCAAAAGAATAGGCTGTCCTATTTTGTGGTTTTCCCACAGACTTCTAAATGGCCATTGTGGAAAACAGAATGCTGGATTAGAATAGACCTTTTATCTGGTCTGCCAGAGGTACTTCTACTTTAAATACCCTGATTTTAGAGTGTTTAAAGCTTTAAAAGTAAAAAATAGCATTTTTTAAAACCTGGAAATTCCTAACAAAATGAAATCCAGTGTCAGATGATACTTGAAAAATCTTGAGGCATCTAGGG